GGTGCAAAAGAATATTGCGCACTTTGGAGGTGATCCCAATAACGTTACGATCTTTAGTGAAAGCGTCGGTGCTGTTTGCGCGCATTACCTAATGCTCTCGCCACAGGGAAAAGGTTCGGATAATTGCCACATAGTTGAAAACCCTCAATTTGCATTTAAGGGCTGTTCCATAAAGTGATCATGCAAAGTGGTTGCGCACTGGGTACTAGAGGAACTGGACAGTGGTCCACTCCATTAATCAAAAAGGCACTCGATCTAGAGGAAGTGAATGACAGGGACATTTTCAATATCCTAAACGAAATGAGCGCTGAACGTATTTTTCAACTGCAAGAGACGATTCCAGACGTAATTTTCTTAAAAAAAAACTTTGACAAATTTGTTCTTTTAGACGTACTTCCCTGACGTCCCCCGTCCGTTTGGAATTGTACAAGAAGCTTACCAAACGAAACAGATGATCACGTCAGAAGATCCTTTAGGCGTGTTGCAGTCTGGTGACTATAATTCTGTTCCATTAATGCTTGGGTATGCGGCACGCGAGGGCTATTTGGTCGACTTGCATTACAAACAACATAAGGCCAGTGCGAATTTCGAGAGACAAATACCTTTCCCCCTTAAAGTTCAAGAAGGTAGTCAGCTGTCGGATTATGTTGCAAATGAGTTGAAAGATTTCTACTTTGGAAATGATTTGGAACAACAGCGGTCGGATGATTTTTTCGTGGTAGTATTTCACAATAAATCAACCCCATATTAATACACATGATAGTTCGTAGGTGATAACCTGTTTGTACGCCCCATTTACAAATCCGCTAAATTGCACTCGCTCACCTCCTCCACCCCAGTATATCTGTACAGAATGTCGTTGGACGCGGATTTAAACTTTTTTAAGGCAGCGTTTAACTGTAAACGAAAGGGAACCTCGCACGCCGACGAATTGGGCTACCTATTTACGCACATGTTGACTCCAACGATTCGTCCGCATTCCATTGAAGCAAAAGGCGTAGAAATGTTTGTAAAGCTATGGACCAACTTCGCCAAATATGGCGATCCTAATTCACCTGAGGATCCAATCGAGCGACCGCGTTGGAAGCCCGTGCAAAATGGCGAAATGCATTTTGCTGATTTGGGAGAAAACTTTACAACCGGAATAAATCCCGAAGGGTACCGTATGTCATTTTGGGACCGATTAGAAGAAAAAATCGCAAGCGGCGTATTATAGTCTGGCAGTTTTTTCTATAAAACCATTCTAATATTAATTTTTTTATTTCGATAACACTAGCTCAAATAAACACTTTTTAGATAAGGCCTATTTTTTCTCATGATACTATTCGGAGCACATAAAAGTGGTCTAGGTTTTATTACAGATTTTGGAGTCTATAAAAAATAATTTCGTTTCCGTTTGAATGCTCCAAAATGGCACCGTTGTGTTACAATACGGACATTTTCACTCCCCCAACTCATTATTGAAATTTAAGTAGGCACTACAAATGTTTTGAGGCTTTTTCCTTGGACAGTCATAATATGTGCTGCATAACCAAAGTGATTTCCGTACATATTATAGCAAGGTCAAGAGAATAAGAAAAAGTTTCATACAAAACTTTGCTTTGTTTATTCGTAATTAAATCATTTAAGATGTGCATAAAATAGGAGACCTAACATTTGGGTAAGCACCTCAGTTAGGATTGATTAATTTAATTTGGCTATCACATGCATGGTTATATGAGGAAGAACAATTTCCTAGTTTAAAAAGAGTCAAGGTTCCAGGAACATTCAACCGAACAAATGTTACTTATGTCAGGTTCAAGTTTTTATTTTGTCGATTGTAAAACAGTGAACTTTTTTAGTTATATTTGTCATGTCTATCAGTGACGTCTTTGTTCTAAATTGTATCGGGGGTTGGTATTGATTTACACGCTGGAAATAGGTTGTTTTAGTTTGCGAATTAAACATTCTTAAGGAAAAATCAATCTAAAATTGCAGTCAGCATTTTTTGCAAACACCCCTGAAAGTCAGGGAACCAATGAAAATTACTAACATATCTACCCCATTACTATTCCACCATTAAATAGGTGTTACAAGATGATTTAGAGGTAAGAGAGGGAATTATTCTGTACGAAATTTGGGATTCTCGTTGTGGCTTTCGAAGACTCATGGCGAGAGATGGTTTGGCGATCAAACGGAACTTTGAGCCTAAATTAAATTGGCGTTCAGGAATACCGAGCTTAAAAGAAACAGTTAATCACTTTCAAGGCGGCCATTAGAGTCCACATTTTTAACCAGAAGTTTTCTGGAAGATCACCATTTGCCCCAGTGGAAAAAAATGACGTGATAAAATTCCAAATTTCAATCTTGGAGAATTATAAAAAGTGCAGACGGTTTTCGCGACACTCATCCTAATGTAAGTGCATAGATCGCGACCGATAGTTGTCGAAAGGTGCCAGTTTAACAAGGATTACAGTAATAAACCAAGGGATATTCACATATTCCAGTGTGAGAGTTGGAAAAATTCGTAATCGTGTCGTTTTCTGTTTATAAAGCAGATTCCTTCATTGAAAATAAACGCACAAGTCAGAAAATTCCTAGTAAAAAGAGAGTTAATCTAATTTCATGTGTAAAACGAAATTACGACAAAGAAAACTGTTAGTAAATCCAGATAATATTCAAGTTTATTACTCGTTCCTATAAGACTTGTAAAAGAAAGATCGATTTCAATCGACAGCTTTACGTTCCATTAAAAAAAGATAAATTTTGACTAATTGTATTATTAATTACCATTAAAATGAGAGATCCTAAAGTAGTAGAGAATCATATAAAATATTTTTAATCTTCTGTGTATTGTTATGAATTTGTTGACCAGTCGAGTCAGATTTTACCTTGTGGAGTAAAAAAAGTTCCATTCAATTTAACGAAACCAAGTTCAGAGGTCATCCATAATTTAGTTTGTCAACGTCAAATAAAAAACTAGGTTGCGTTTGAAGTGTAAAGGTATTTCGATTTAATTTCCAATGTTTGATCAAATCAGTGAGTGATAGTAAAAGAGATGGTCACAAAGGCCACCTCGAATTAAATTTTAACTATCCAGATTTGTGACAGGTGGACCTGGACATGTAGTAAGTAGAAAATTAAATAGAAAACCAATGTCAGAAAGGAGATGCATCCTTAAACCACCCTTAATATTTTTTTCTGATTTTTAATCGTTATACAATAATGTTCTGAGTTATTATTTACTGGACAGTGCAGAGTCAAACCCCTTTTGTAGTCAAATTTCAGCTAAAAAACAGGAGATCTAAATTATTTTCAAGCGAAGTACCGGTGCCTTGTCCCCTATTGTATTAGTATACGAAGAGGGACGATCCAGCCGCCAAAGCACTTTTTGGGTCATTTGATAGAGCATTTTTTTCGGATTTCAAAAATGTAAATATCACTATTTTTTTAAAAAATACCGCTATTAATTCGTAATAACGCAAGAAACTACGAACATCTACTACCCAAGATAAAGTTTGCCAGGCAAAAAAGAAGATATTTTACCAATATTTAAAAAATAGTGATATTTACATTTTTGAAATCAGAAAAAAATGCTCTATCAAATGACACAAACAGTAAAAATGACTTCCATAAGAAGAAACAAAGTTGATAATGGTTAAACGAAGACGAAACGTCAGACTTAAACTTTAAGACTAGCATCTTGTAGGTAGACGGAAAAAAGTCATCATAATGTGTCATTTATTTTAAAATACCTTTTTAAATAACATCGGTAAAAAATAAAAACGATTATGGAAAATTCCGTTTTTGCAGGATCAGGATCTCGGAACACAGTCGAAATTTTTTCAGTTTCAAAACGGCATTTTGTTAAGCTTCGAAATACGCAGCTTTGCCAAATTTAAACTACCTATCTACATATCTCTTACAGATCCCGATGGTGCCCCTCGAATTTGAATCAGACTGTATAGATCTGCTATATCATTATTTGTACAACACGTAGCCCGGGAAAATATTAATATTAATATCAAAACAGGCTTACGCAAAAACAACGGAGCAATAGTCATTAAGTGAATCTCAAGTAAATGTAATAATTATAGTTCGAATGTATGGAAAACCAATATGTAATCAACGTTAAAAGGGAATCGACGAAAATAACAAAAATTTCCCTTGAATTCTGGTCGTAGGGACTGTCTGAATTCAGAAGGGCGCGTTCTGCAAATCTGTAACAACACAAGCAAGTAAACAAAAGGGGTAGTACATAAAGTATTGCGACATACATAGCAATGCTAACGTCTGATACTAAGCAGGTAAATCAGACATTAAAACTGAAAAAGAACCCATAATTCGAACGATTTTCCACTAGCAAAACCAAAATTTTGGTGGAGAAAGAGAGAACCACTTCAAAGATAAGTATGGTAAAGCCAAAACATTAATCCCTTAAGTCAGGTAGACACGTAGTCAGAAAAGTAATAGTTACCAAGAGACATTTACATCTAATCAACTCGGCGGCAGAGACTTCACTAAAGGTGAACTGCACGAGCAAGACAAACTTAAAGAAGAAGGGAAAGCAACGACCTCGATGGGCGACACGAATAACTATCTGAAAGAAATTTATAACACGAGAATAAAGAACTAGGGGATAGAAGAATAACTACCTTGAACTAGTGGATTACAACGAAGATCACTAGATGGCGTACGGATATTAAGGGGACATTAGCGTAAGAATACTAAATATTGGCCACGAATCAAAAAAGTTAAATAAATTAAACTGAAAAAAAAACACGTTACAACTTTCATATTAGATTGAACCCCCAATTTACGACTCAGGATTCTAAGAGATTCATGTTGATATTTTTTGGGTGACTTCGTTTAATTAAGCTAGGTGGGTGGTTTAGTGACCGTCTGCCATTATACACCGAAATATATTATATCCTAATTAGCTAAATGGTAGGTTTACAAAATTTTATCTGAAATTTATCGTTCGGCATCCTCAAAAAATCTGGATAAATGATCAAAGAAGATTTATATCGCTGTGTAAACAATGTCGGATTGGACGTTGAGGTTTAGATCCAGGTACCTGAAGTGAATACGGCTCGTTTAATTACTAATCAAAAGCTCATCTCAATTCGTGGGATTCCTTAAAGTTAAACACAAAACGATTTTGCGTATCTAGCCTGTATCCAAGGTATATGTATTGTTTATCTGAAAGGTTCAGGCGACTTACCCTTCTTTACAAGGCCAGCCAATGCTCAATCCGGCTGTCGCTTAAAAAATTCAATTAAATTCCTATATTAAGTAAAAGTTGTTTCATTTACTGCGTATACCAACACATCCATTTTTTTTAACAATTTACTGCCATAACATTTATTAAAATCTATGGAATCTGCTGCATTACTAAATTTAAGTCCCTAAGTGATCACTTTTCTCCAGTTAAGGACCAAACAAACAGGAAAAATCAATGCGTATACTTTCTAATTAAAATTCCTCACGTTCTAATTTGCATTATTGGAATAATTTAGGGGCTGCTTCTTTTTAAAAGTTAACGTGATTGATTTCGTATAATACCCTCGAGAATACCTAAAGCAAAATTATTTCTTTATTATATGCGCTTTAACGTTTTTAAGTTGCTATAATTAATTATAGTACAAAAATTCACCTAGATCGAGATCTAAAAAGAAATATGAATGTTTCAACGTCAGTATACAATTCTTGGTTTCTTGCTGTTGGTACGCCGACAATGTGTTTGATCGATTGTCAATAGTAACCAATGAAAAAGCATTTGTCGCTCACATTCCGAGAAACCTTAGTTTTCTATTCTCAAACAAAGTACAGAAGCCACCTTTTTTCGCAGTTATAAAAATACGAAATGTCATCTCTTTTCAGTTTGGTTTGACATTAATGGCAGTCCCAATGGATTTCGCAACTAAAAACGTATTGCAAGAACTCTTAAGAGAATGCACCAACAAATCGATACAAATTCCAGAAAGCTTTATCTTATACTACGTAAGCATGAAACGATGTTAAACCTGATCTTTAACCCAGCTTTAGGTGAAATTATTACTGTTAAACCCCTCCTGGGGGATACTTCCGGGAACGCTACCACATCGTAACGACGTGAGGTACCTTGTGAAACAGTGCGTGCAGAAATTAAGCAATCAATCGCACTCCAGCATCGTAACGTTAAAAATCCAACACTATTTTAAAGAAAACTTCGAAAATCTCGAAAATATGATAATAAAGAACCGGGCTGATCTTAAGGCGCGAATTTTGCCCTTAGAAAAAGATATTCTAGACGCGTACGTCGAGGACGAGGAAGGACTAGGGAGACTGTTCCGGAAAGTCGTATACTTCATCACCTTAACTTCCGGGTTGGGCAATCCAACTGATGAACAGGTGAGGCTCTTTGCAAAGTCATCGACTAATTTCAACACTAGGTGTACAAGGAATCAGCGGCTGCCTTAAAAAGTGCGTTGCTCGAAACGGATCTTAAGGAGTTTGTTAATGAGACGCGTGAAAATAAGGAGTATCAGTTGATTGAGTTGACCGAGTTGGTGACGGGGATAAGACTATTTAACCGGGACTGTAAAAAATGCGGATCCGGAATTGAGGACTGTATGGGTCTTCTCTAGCTGCCCTGATGTTGAAGTCCGCCTGTTTCAGTACCGAAAATGCTAACCAAGGCCCTTGAAGTGACGCTTCAAGATATCGAAAAGACATTGGAGTCGATCATGGAAACTGTCAACTTGCTTACGACTGCTGTTGACAACAACTACGAGATTGAGCCGAGTGCAGAATCGTACGTCTTACGTCGGCGCCTACCGGATAACGTTGATGAGCCCCAGCTCAATCACGTGATGAACTTATTAATCATTTATAGGCAATATGAATTGTTTGTCAGGTAAACCTAGCAAACGTCTCTGAATACAGCTCACATCCACATTTCAGGAAAATTCTAGTTGAAGTCAGCAACATGAGTACCACCGCAAAGAGTACCATTGAAAAATTAAAAGATCTTCTGTCTAAAGTGCACAACTCGGTCAGTTTTAGAACTGCGATTCCAACAATCCAAGTTTTTGTATGGTACTAACTTTAACCCCATAGATGGTACACAAACTACTTTCAGCCACTATTCTCCCAGGTTGCCGACGCATGGTACCGTCTGCAAAATCAAACCATAGCCTTATCTCAACTGAACCAAATGCTGCTAAACCTCCATTTTGAGGTCGAACGTACAAACTTTACCGAGGATGTGATTCGCTTAATGCTCGGCCCCTCCAGTATCATCTCTGACGCGGACCGATTAGAGAAAACAACGCAACTGAAAATTAGACAGACAAGCGCGGACGCTCCCATCGTCTATCCGTCGGACGTATCCGACTTTGAACGAATCGAGCTTCAGGTGTCCCAACTTCTCGCACTCGAATGGGAAATTATTCTCTGAAAATTTTAGTACCTCGGGTTTTGCGCTTGGAAGTTCGTGGAGACCGGCGGCGGGCTGATACCGGCGAATCCCAATATGGGCGTTTTGCGAATTGATGGGAAATACTACGCGTTTTGTTGCCCGGAAGCTGCGGTCGCTTTTTGTTCAAATCCCTTCCGGTATGAAGGAGCGACTTTCTATTGTACAATAATTGGGTTATTTTTAGAAATATCTTAAGAGGACTTGAGGTGGTACGACGTCGATGTGAGCTAATTAATTTACTTCAAATGGAAGATCAGCTGATTAAGGTTTCCAAAATCGAACAGTTAGTAATCTACCAAGTACTATTTGTGACAAAAGCCAAAAATTTGCCTCTAATTTAGAACAAAATTTAATGCAAAAGGCGCACAATTGAAACTTACGTGTGTAAAATGGAGGGTTCTCGTTCGCATCTTTTTTGACACTTTTTTTTCGAAGAATCTGAATTTATCGGAATTTTCATAAAACGCTAGATGTAGAAGCTACAGTGTACTACTGTATTTCGCCATATTGGATTTTTACGAAATGACATTTTAAGTTTTTCGGTGATTCTCAGTTATTTTCAAAGATTTTTCATGAATTTCAAATGCGTTTTTTAATTACAGAAAGGGGAAGCTTTATCCCCATTTAACCCTTGCTGTATCTCGCACCATTACGGAGATCCCATTGGTGAGCCACGAAGTTGAACCAAATCCAAGTTGGGCACTTTCTTATAGTAATGCCCTTTATTTTAAGAATGTCAGGAGCTCAATTTTAAAAAGAAAATCTTTGTTAGAGCACCTAATTATGTAGAATCCATCGCGATACACAGTTTTTATACAGGGTGTTTGGTTTAACTCGAATATTGCATTTTATCTATTAGAATATTTTTATTGCAGACATCCTAGGTGATCTAGGTTTCCATGGCGGACAAATATGGCAGGATTGTTTAAAACGGCAATTTCTTGGTTATCTACATTATTTAGTTCTATATTATATTATTTAGAGTTTTCACGTCCTTTGTTTTTTGTGTGTTATTTGAAATTAAAATATTTGGAACGAATAAAAACTGCCAAATCACCAATAAATTGTCATTTTAAACAATCCTGCCATCTTTTGTTCGCCATGGAAACCTAGATATCTGCAGTAATAGTATATTAAAGCATAAGTTGCAGAAGGCGCTATAGAAAGGCGCTATAGAAAGGCCTTCTGCAACATATGCTTTATACTATTTTCTCTGTTGAGCATTTTAATTGTATTAAAAAAATTAACAATTCTGACATTTTCTGTAATAAATATTTCAATCAAGAAATTAAGTTGGCTACGCTACATTTTGAAAAAATTCAATTTAACAAGCGCGTCAAATACGAATTTGTGCAGTATATTTTAGTTTTTTCAATAAGTGAATAATGTGCGAAGAAATTCTTCCTTCCACTCCTCCAGAGCTTCGACAGTTAGCAGAAGAGACTGTTCATAATTTGCTACCAGGCAATAATTCCACAATTATTCTAAAAGTTTATAATAATTGTACATTTAGTGACAAAGATTAGTGTTGTAATTTTGTTAGGTTATAAAACCTCATTTGTATTAAATGTGGATTTCTCTAAGTACCTACACTGAATTTTCAATACCTAATGATTTCAATTACCCGTATCGTTAATAACTGTAACATAATGTTATAACAATAAGTGAAATTAGTCCACATTTTACTAAACCGTTGAGATAAGTATTAACGTCTAAATCATCCAGGCAGAACTTTGAATTGAACATTCGCGTATATGATCAGCCTGGATGATTTAGACGAGCATGCCAACCACTGAATACCAAATGTTAAAAATCTGTCAGTTGTGGAAAATAGTTACCAAAAATAGTGTTGGAATGAAACTCATTCCAGGACTATTTTTGATATCGGAATACTGTCATTATAAACGCAAAACAGAGAATAGTATATTGAAAGACAAGTGTTATAATGCGACCTATTGTAATACGATTATCTTGTGGCACGAGTGGCGACGCGAAGCGTAGCCACGAGTGTCCGCAAGATAGGAGTATTACAATAAAGCATTGTAACACGCGTTTTTCATACTATTTTTTCTATTTCGGTGCTTTAATTTAATTAAAAAAATCATTCTCAGAAACTATAGGGAACATTACAACTAACATGTTTTATGTTGGGAACACTTTTTATGCCATTAAGTTTTAGGTTGGCAGCCTAGTAAGACTGACATTTTGAAGTTCAAACATGGAAGTACCCAACGAAATACCTCCTTGTACTAACTAGTAACTGCCAACTTAAGAGATGAGTTACCAAAAAAAAACGACTATAATCACTGTCTTTGTACAACTGTTTTCGGCCGAAAACAGTTGTACAAAATCATCATTGTGACACCGAAATAGAAAAAAGTATTTTAATGTATAAAAAGCAATATTGCAAATAATATTTAATATTAATGAAACAAGTGATATCAAAGTTTAGGAAATTTTAAGGTCTTTTCAAAAACTCCAAAATATATAAAGTGGTCTAAATGAAAAAATGTAGTTAAAGGTCGTATATGAAAAATCAAAACACCCCGTATAATAACTGCTAATCGCGATGTATTCTACGCAAGAAAGATTTTGCCAAAATCAATTATGTTTAATCATAAGAAAGTTATGCCCATTAAAAAATCGACTAAATTCGAGAAACGCCCCCTACCGACCAGACGATTAGAGATACCTAAATTTTGTGTGTGCCAGTGATTTACTCTTTAAAATTGAACTCCCACCCTGTGCAGAAGAGCGCTTTTGAAAAGGGACGTGGTTTCCGTCGGTTTCATGTTTAAAAGTAATAGTTTTCTTTTATTGTAAAACGCCACATCTAATATATAAAAATCTCGTGTCACGGTGTTTGTGGTCGCCTAGGTGGTCACACTCCTCCGAAACGGCTCGGCGGATTTTTACAATTTTTTTTTGTATGTTTACTATAAAAATTACAACAAGGAATACTTGAGTATTCGATTGTGAGAGACAGTGGCGGATTGACATATAGGCACACTAGGCACGAGCCTAGGGGCGGCAGGTTTAGAGGGCGGCATTTTTTGCGCTATATTTATTTTAGGTAACATTTTAAGTTTTAAAATAAGTCCTTTAACAAGTTATATACAAATGAAAAAGTTCTTTAATTAAATTATGAAATAAATTGGAATTGGTAGATAGTTTAAACAAACTGTAACTGTAAGAACGATAATAAAAAGTCATACATTCCTCTTCTAAAACTATAAATAAAGAGGAGATTAACTTTACCTCCCTGCATACAAAATAAATAATCATGGTTCTCCTCCCCCAACGTAAAAAAGGTAATGTTGACTTAGAAACACTGTGGCACGACCGCGATTATGGTAGTATAGTAGTAATTCCAAAGAAAGTTGGTAGTAAACATTTGATTTTGGTCCAATGGTCATACCCTGTATCCAACTCTTTAAGGTTGGTGGTAGAAATTCCTCAACCCACTTCAACATGCGAAGTCGAAGCACAAACCGACTTGCATCCAAACCCGACATACATCGACCCAAGCTACATGTGGAATATCTGGGATTGGAAACGACAGGCAATCCTATACGTAAGAGGAGCTCAATTTCCAAAAAACTGCTCACAATTTTGTTCTAGGCGAATTTATCCAGGTGTATCACGTGTTCTACGCAAACTACCAAATCACGAGCACGAGAAGCTACGGTAACGCAGACGTACGACACGAAGCACGCCTCGCAGCAGACCAAAAGAGAAAATTACTCGAACGTACCCACAGTATCGTCCTTTATTTATGGGTTGCGAGGAAGACTGGACGATTTGCAACATGTGATTACTTTAACAAGACCTGTAGATGAATAAACACTTCTCTCGTTCACATTTTATTTCTTACCCATCTAAAGTTTCTTGAAAAGCAACTTGGGAACTTATTCAACATTCTTATGATATTTTGATCTCTGAAAATTTTCTATGTTGAAACTTGGACCTTAAAAATTAAAATTTTGAAAACTTGAACCTTGAAACCTAAAACCAATTTTGATTGTGAGAACACACATTTAAAATAAGGTAACGTATTATTATTCTTCAAATTTAAATCATGAAACTTCAATGATGATTCAAGCTTCTTCAAGATCTAAGTACAAAATTCGAGCGTCAAAGTTTGTGGTTTGCGAATCAAACACATAAGATCTTTAGAATAATTTAATAAACATTTTGAATTATTTGAAAAAAAGACGTTGCGGCGCTCCAAAATTTTTCAAAAATCCTAGAATATTGAACCTTGAATGATTCTTAATTCAAGCTTCAAATTTCTTTAAGATTCAAGCAAAACAAATTTTTTAACGTTATACAGTTCGCAAATCAAACTGGAAGAAGTTCAAAATTCAAACTTTTGTTGGAAGGTTCAAGTTTGATGATTGAAGCTTTAGGTCCCAAAATGTACATGTGTATTAACAACTGAAAAATATTACTGTAATTCAGTTTGATTTGTAAACCTGAATGATCTTGTTATTTTGATGATGAACTTATAATCTTGAATTTTGAACGCTTAATTCCCGAAAGAATGGTAAATCGTGTAACTTGAAGCTTAGAAATTAAAGGGTGGGCGGAAGGGGGCCTAAGGTAACCCCAAAGCTTCAGTGTTTCAAGGGCCCACACAAAACAAATTTTCCTTGTGACATGAACTTAACTGCCTAATCTCACAATTTTTGAACGTACCAATTTAAAATCCTCAAAATAGGTCACGTTGAAATTCCAAAGTCAACAGTTTGCTTCTATTATTAATTGATGATTTGAAAATATGATGACGCCACCAGGCAAACGAGAAATTGCCTGAAAACTACAACAATTGCTTTTGGGAGAAAGTCATTAAATTTCTCTGGGGGTCAGTCCTACCAAACCTTCCTTTTCTGGAAGATATTCAATGCACGAGAGTTCTAAGGAGAGAACGTTTTGAGAGAAAACGCAAAACCGGGAGTCGGGAGGATATCCAATACTCGTTAGCTAGAAAAATACCATAACTCATCGCGTGGATCTAGTAAGTATATGTACCTGTATTAGAGAATGATCAAAGTCTTCGTGAGCGAAGGGATTTCTGCGCATTTTTGTGTTAGTTGTTAATTACACGGCCCCTCGTCTTTCTGCAAGCATTCCTCTACGGGCCCTCATTTGCTGCCTTCCATCCAGACCGCCAGACAGCCAACCAGCCAGCCAGCCGGTCAAAGTGAGATTAACTACCTTTTCACAAAAAAAGGAAAGAAAACATTTTTCCCAAATAAACCAAGAACTACAAATGTTTCGCCTGGGAGGTATATGATTAAAAATTTATGGTACCGAGAAAGACCAATAAGAAACCCAAAATTTTAAAATTTTCCAAACTACCCATCAAAAATTGATTGCTCTCTCGGCCAATCATGAAAGTGCGGAGGGCTGAAGATACATATTTTGTAGTACGAAGGTAATACTGGAGGGTCAAATACCCTCCAGGAAAAGAAAAAGTGGATTGCTCTTTAAACGATCATAAAAGCGCGGAGGACTGAAGACCGTTTATAGTGAGAAGGAAATACCAGGGGGTATGCACTACACTAACTTGCGTTAACGACAACCGTTTTTTTTTATATATCCCACTTCTGACACCACTATGATGTAGCTATTACATGGCTTAGATCTACAAACTCTGGAACACGTGCGCCAATACAGAAAGTTTTGTCAAAATCAATTATCTTTAATAATAAGAAAGTTATGGGGCATTAAAGAAATCGACTAAATTCGAGAAACGCCCCCTAGCGGCCAAACGATTAAAGATAACTGAAATCTGTTCCCTCCAGTGATTGGTAAAATTTATCATTTGGGAACCAGTGATTTTCTCTAAAACTGAGTTCCAGACACCTAGGTCAATTTTTTTTTCTATATTAAAATAAGGGAGGTGTCCACCATGCACATGGCCTCTTTCTAATAGTTTGTGTAGATTACTTTAAATTTAAAATTAAATTAAAATAAATAAAAAATAAATTAAAATTACTTTAAATTTAAAACTTCCGCAGAGTTCTAAATTTTTCGCCAATTTCGGTGATATTGAATGACGAAAATCTCAACGAAAATACTGCAAAAACCCAAAATAGAGCATAAATGACGCTATATGGCAAACATTCATGACCCATAACTCGCGCCGGATAAATCCTACTGCTTAACGTGTTTGACTGGTCATTTCCAAAATATACTCACACAAAACCCAAAAAATTTATAAAACGGAATGGAATGTTTATTGCGGTAATAAAAATAAATATTTACACGCAATTTACAAAAATTACAATAATCGCGTGTACGTTTTAATTCGCGTCGGTATTTAGGTGAATTTGTCACGCAAGATAAACATTTTACGTACTTTCAAATGTCTAATTAATTCGATAAGCTTACCCGTTTGTTAGAACTAAATTTTCCATCGCAAAAATAACAACCCCCGACGCTAATTGGTCAAGCGTATACGTGTATATAACATATTTCGTATTAGAAACGCTTATGGTAAGGTACTGAATTTAATTAGCGTATTCTGTTTGAAACGGCCTTGTCAGGAGATTTCCCCGCGGGCAATTTAATATTCTGTCGTGTAAAGGAAATTACAGGCAGTGTTTTTATAACATACTTTATATGAAATTTTCCCGGTAAACGCGGGCGTATAAACCTATCTTTCTAAATTCACATAGGGAATATTCTGTCGATAGAAACTAGATCAGCACGAGGGCATAGAAATTGAAATATTAAATTTTTCAATAGAGATTTTTGGGACATCTAGAATTCAGTGTTCTCTATTGATGGTCACCTGTCACCCTATTTATGTTATTTTAAGGGCTTCCAAATTCGTTTGTATAACGGTGGAAAACCGTGCAAGCAGGTTACGATCAAGAAAGTTGCAATAAAAGTGAGTTCTCCCCAACACTTAGTTCATGAATAGGCATTAAGATTACATAGGATAAAAGAACTTCTTTTTATTATAGAAGACGCGAGTATGAGAGGACGCTACCCTTTATGTTGTAGGCGAACAAAAAAACGTCAAAAATGCACTGGAAGCTTTTAATGTTCAACCCCTCTCTCGAAAGCATTAGCTGCGGCATGATGAAGATCGATTAGATAAAATCGACTGGTTGCAATTTCAGTTCTTACATCAAAGCGTGGCTTAGTCATCAAGCTTATCGTACAGGCAAAGGGTTATTAACCGATATTAATTAATTAGACCTCAACGTCAAGGGCTAATTGGATTATTATTCTACACAAGAATTGTTGCTTATTTCTTTTTTTTATATTCTACGTGACTTCTGCTGCACTACCATTTAATTACTGGTTTTAATCCTTTCTGACATGTATAAAATGATGCAACGCAAACCATCCTCCCAGAATACTAATACCCGATGAAGAATATGATGCAATTTCCATTTTTTTTAAGTTATTTCATCGCCACTGTGCATTTAGACAAAGGGAATTCAAACTATAACAAATAAAGTCGTCCTGAAAGATAAAAAAATGCTCTGGCACGTGGATTTCATATAAAATGGGAGTAAAATGTAACAACTTTGAAGGCTTGCAGCTCATCACCTTGGGGTTAATACCCCATTAAAAAATTTAAAAGGCGCAATGGGACGTGAGATACATGATTTAAAAGCTCATTTCATTCTTTGAGCAGATCTAGCTTTACGGTCGCTTTGATTCCATACAAAATGAAATTTGTAAGCTACTCCTCAAACGCCCCTCTACAATCCCGTTATTTTGTACAGTCGTGAATTGCATTTAATTGAAATGTCTAAAATTTTGAAAATAGTTGAATTGAGTCAATCTATTCTAATACGTTTGGTTTCTCTTCTGGATGAAAATCACGGGTTTTGAACTCTCTTACTTAAACATATTGGTTCTGAAAATTTCCTTTTATTATCCCGGCTAGCTTTTAAGGATAAAATGGCCAAAATTTTAATTTATATTAGTTCGAAAGATTTTATTTTTGCCAATATATTTCAAACAAAGCAAATTACATGAGTACGTCTTAGTGAGTGGTCCAACCAGAGCATCAGGTTTTAATTTTCTGATTATACGTGGAAATATAGAACCAACCATCCGCAGGTAAGATATTAAAATTTTACTTATTACTGAGCTGGCCGTGGTATTAATTATTTCATTACAAACAAGTTAAAAAGTAATCGTAAACGATTTACATAAAGCGCATTTCCACTTGCATTCATTTCCCATTTGTAAGATGCAACTTCTGTTCAAATCGTAAAAATCCGGCCACAAATATGAAAGATAGCGTTGCACATGGGCAATCCATTGTTGACGTGCTACTTCAATTTCAGTTTATGAGAAGAATTTCATTTCAATGCTTTTCTAAATAAGAAAGTTGGAACAAGCATGCGCAAACCTAAATTTTAAAACTAATGTTAGATTTTCCTTTGTTTCAAGCGCCTAAGTATCACATTTCACTTAAATAGTTCCATAGATAAAAAAGTTGGCACTGCGCATGCGCAAAATAAAATTTTGAAACTGGCGCTAGATTTTCCTTTATTCCAAGTGCCTATGTATCACATTTCATTTAAATTCTTCCATAAATATAAAAGTTGGCACTGCGCATGCGCAAAGCCAAATTTTGAAACTGGCGTTTGATTTTCCTTTATCCCAAGTGCCTATGTATCAAATTTCGTTTAAATTCTTCCATAAATAAAAAAGTTGGCACTGCGCATGCGCAAAACCAAATTTTGAAATTGGCGTTTGATTTTCCTTTATTCGAAGTGCTTATGTATCAAATTTCGTTTAAATTCTTCCATAAATAAAAAAGTTGGCACTGCGCATGCGCAAAACCAAATTTTGAAATTGGCGTTTGATTTTCCTTTATCCCAA